TAGATCTGCGTGCGTTCGGTGTTAAAGAGACAGCAGTCTAATAAACGCGCTGCCTGTCATTAATGTTAATCAAAGAACAAAAGAAAATCATTCACTGATCTTGACTGAATATATTTAATAACTTTAATTGATTAATCTATAATTTATTTATGAAATGAAAACTATGCAGTGTTTTTAAACTTTTAATTACTCAACTGAAATGTTCCCAGCTCCAGAAACGTAGCAAGTGCATCGGTAAAATAGTCCATGTGATATCAGTGGTTCAACCGTAATGTTATGAAGCTACGAGAATACTTTTTGTGCGCAAAGAAAAGAAATTACTTTTTGCGCGCCGCCATTGTGGAGAGCATCACGACTAGGGTTGGGTATCGAAAACCGGTTCCATTTTAGAACCGGTTCCAAATTTCCAAGAACCGGGTATTCGATAAGACGCGTGCATTTCGATTCTGCTTAACGATTCCTGTGTTCGCATTTTAATGTGATTAAAAACGATTTAAGTGCAGGAACGGAAAGAACTTGCGCCCTGTTTGCGTGCAGCGCACACGAAGCGCAAGCGCGAGCACAGAGAACAGAGGTCGCGGTACGGGTTCCCGGTTTGTGTCCGTTCTCGAACCGTTCCGTTTCTTTCCACTGTAGAAAAGGTTGTTCTGGGCCGAAACTGACTTCTTTCATATTTGTCGACCAGTATGCAGAAAACTACGTCAGTATATCATCATAAACACAGCTCTTACCTGAACTTAAACAGATGAGAAAAAAAAAACACATGTACAGTATTTTTAGATCTGCGTGCGTTCGGTGTTAAAGAGACAGCAGTCTAATAAACGCGCTGCCTGTCATTAATGTTAATCAAAGAACAAAAGAAAATCATTCACTGATCTTGACTGAATATATTTAATAACTTTTGTATTTATTTATGATATTGCTAATTGATTTGTTTGTTCCTATCTTATTACTGACTGTTTACTTGTCTTTAACACTTTAATATTTGAAATTTATATTAATAATCTAGTTGTTTTTGCTGTGGTATTTTTTTTAAAGCATAGGCAAAATTCCTCTTGCAGTGTTCTGTAGGCTGCTGATTTTTGCTCGTGTTATTCAGCTGCAACAGAATGCTTTGTAAAAAGATTTGACATCTAAAAAAAATGTTTGACTTAATTTTTTTTATCTTGGATTTTTTGTCTTATTGGAATCGATAAGAATCGGAATCAATAAAATTAAAACGATACCCAACCCTAATCACGACGCATGCTCTTGCTTCCGCTTCATGTAAACAACGCATATTCCAGTTCCGTTGCTGTGACAATATGCCCCTAAGAACTGGGACACCCCTACTATACCGTCACGTGTCATCATACGTCGCCTAGCTCCTACAATACAAACACTAGTGTTCGACCGATATATCGGCCGATATTTGGCATTTTTCAAATATCGGCATTGGCCGATAAGTTTTTCTGTTTGGCTGATGTGTTTGAGGCGGGACTTTTATTTTGACGGCGCTGAGATTGCAGCGCCTGAACACACAGTGCTCACATTCTCTCTCTTGTTCGCTATCGTCGTTCATTTCTATCTAATAATCAGATAGAACTGTTAAACAAATTAATTAAAATGTATACAAAAAAGTATTATAATGATTGCTTTAATATTAT